ATGCAGCCACTTCCTCCAACTCCTGGGCTTCTGAAAAGTCATGCACCTGAGATATCCTTCCAGGCACTGATTCACTCTCTCAGTCTGCCCATCAGTTTGAGGGTGATATGCAGTGGAAAGGTTAAGTTTTACTTGCATATTGTTGAAGAGGGTTTGCCAGAACCTGCTTGTAAAGATCTTATCTCTATCAGGTACAATGTTCCTTGGCAGACCATGTTGTTTGTAGATTGATTCCATAGAAACATCAGCCACTGACTTAGCAGTATAAGGGTGGGAAAGTGCAATGAAATGAGCATACTTTGTTAGTCTATCCACCACTACCAATATCACATCCTTGTTTTGAGATTTAGGAAGCCCTTCTATAAAGTCTAAGGAAATACTCTGCCAAGCTTCTGTTGGTATGCTGAGGGGTTGCAACAATCCAGGACTAGCCACAGTTTCATGTTTGCATCTCTGGCACACTTGACAGCTCCTCACTAATTCCACCACTTCCCTTTTCATCCCCTTCTAATAGAAAAAAGACCTCATCGTCTGATATGTCCCAATCTGTCCCGAATGTCCACCTATTGCAGTCTCATGTAGCTTAAGTATTAAATATTTCCTTAAGTCCCCTGATGACCCAATGTACAATCTGCCCGTGTACCTAGAATGCCCCAGAGGTAGTGATATTTGGGTCAATGTTTGGGGTGATCAGGGTTGCAGTTAACATCTCCTTTGCCCAGTCATCATCTGCATAAGTTTTGATGATGTCCTCCATCCATTGTGGTTGTAGAACAAAAATGGAGTTAACAACAGGTTCCACATCCATTTCTTTCCTTGAAAGGGCATCAGCTGCACCATTGTCAGACCCCTTTTTGTACTGTATGGAGTAATCCAATCCCAGCAACTTGGTTAATCCCTCTCATGCAATGTGGTGGTTATTTTCTGCTCAAGGAGGAATTGCAAACTGTGATGATCAGTTTTGATGGTGAAGTGTCTTCCTAGAAGGTAAGATCTCCACTTGTCTACAGCATTTATGATAGAGAGGTACTCCTTCTCATAAATAGATAATCCCAAATGCTTCTCCCCAAAAGCCTTACTGAAAAAGGCAACTGGTTTACCATCTTGCATGAGGACAGCCCCATTTCCTTGTAACTTGCATCAGCTTCCACCACAAATTCTTTCTTAAAGTCAGGCAAGGCTAGCACATGTGGATGGCAAAGGGCTCTTTTTAAATCTTCAAAAGCTTGTTCTGTTGTTTCAGTCCATTGAAATGCATCTTTTTTCAACATATCAGTGAGAGGCCTACTGAGTACTCCATACCCTTTGATGAACCTTCTGTAATACCCTGCCAATCCCAGAAATCCCCTCAAAGCCTTGATTGTCATGGGCTTTGGCCAGGCAGCTACTGCTTCTAGCTTGGCAAGGTCAGTATGCAGTCTCTCATGGGAAATGACATGGCCTAAGTACTCCACATGTAGTTGGGCAAATGAGCACTTACTGAGTTTGGCTAGGAGTTGGTGTTGCCTCATAATCATCAACACTTCCCTCAGGTGCTGCCAATGATCAGTTCTGCTAGGACTATAGACAAGAATGTCATCAAAGAACACTAACACAGTTTTCCTGAGTAAAGGCTTGAAAACTTATTTCATCAAAGCCTGGAAGGTTGCAGGTGCATTGGTCAATCCAAAGGGCATCACCTTGAACTCATAGAGTCCTTGGTGAGTCCTAAAAGCATTTTTGAACTCCTCTCCTTCCCTCATTCTAACCTGGTGATAGCCGTCACCTAAGATCCAATTTAGAAAAGCACACAGCTCCAGCTAACTCTGAAAATAAGTCATCCACCAATGGTATATGGAACTTATCTTTTACTGTAATGTTGTTAAGCCCTCTATAGTCAATGCAGAACCTCCAAGAGTTGTCTTTCTTAGTTACAAGTAATACTGGGGATGCAAAGCAAGAAGAGCTAGGAGTAATGACACCAGCTACCAGCATTTCATCCACCATATTCTCTATGGTGTTCTTCTGGTCATAGGAGTATTTGTATGGGCCTGAATTGACTGGCTTAGCCCCAAGGATTAGTGGTATGATGTGGTCTAAAGACCTTTTAGGTGGAAGGCTGGCTGGTTACTGGAATAAGTCTTGGAAATCATGTAGGAGGTTCTGTAATTCAGGTTCCAAGGCTTGGGTAGATAGGGGTTTTTTGTGGGTAAGTTTGGGATGTATGTATGGGGTTATATCTATGGGGGCACTACTCTGCACCAGGAACCCATGAACCCCCTCCTTATGCCACTTCTTAACTTGTCTCTCAGATGCCCCTTTCAACAGAACCTTCTTGGACAGACCCTTGAGAGAAACCTTCCTCCCCTCCTTGTGGAAAGAGATCCCAGGAGGTCTTGTGTGGAGCTGGATTGGAGCATACTGTTCTACCCAATCCATGCCCAAAACCATGTCACAACCCCCAAATCTTAGCAGCCTGAAGGTTTTGACAAATTGTTCCTGCTGAACCTGCCAACAAAAATCCCTACAGACTGCCTCACTCACCACTCTTTCTCCATTTGCAACTGTTACCACTAATGGGGCTGCCTTCTCTGGTTCCCTTCTCAATTGCCCCATTATTTTTGGGTCCAAGAAACTGTGGGTACTTCCACTATCCACTAGAATCACCAGGGATTGCTTCTGTACAGATCCTAGCAATTTGATGGTGTTTAATCCTTCTCCACCCATCACAGCACACAAAGTCACTTCTGCCTCTTCTGATTCCACTCCTTCATCTATCTGTTCTAACAATTCAGAAGGCTCAGGGACTCCTTGGTCCTCTATGATATTAAAGGTGGGCTTGGTACATTTGTGGCTTGGCTGCCATGACTCAAAGCACTTGAAACACCTTTTTTATTCCCTCAATTGGTTCCTGAATTGGGTAATCTCTGGGGCCTTAGATGCAGTGGTTTGTTGTGATATTGATGGTTTAGGGTAAGGGTTAGGGGTGTTTGATTGGTTTGAATTGGAGCTAAAGGTTTTAGTAGGCTGTGTGTTTCTGGGGTTCCAGTAGGGTGGTTTAGGGTTCTCAGGAACCTTCAGTCCCTTGTCATATTGCCTAGCAAACCACACTGCCTCCTCTAGGCTTGTTGGTCTGGATGTCCTAACAAAACACCTGAGTTGTGGCTTTAGTCTTGCAATGTAGTTCTCTTTGAAATAATCTTCAGTGAGATTGGGATGAGCCTGTAACAGTAAGCTCTTAAACCCTTCAAAGCTATATGTGAACTCATCCACTCCTCCTATCTGCCTAAAAGCAGCAAAATCCTCCATCAATGACACCCCATTGTCTCCAAACCTTTTGCATACTGCCTCAGCAAAGGTAGGCCAGTGGAATTTTTCTCTCAATCCATGAGCATAGCTTTCAAACCACACTCCCACCTTCCCAGCTAATTGAACATACAATAAACTCATGATATCATGTCTAGGGATGTGAGAGAGTACAAGAAATTTCTCACATCTCACCACCCATTGCCTAGGATTGGTATAATCAAAAGCAGAGAACTCATTTTTATACCTTGGGAAAATGTCCTAGTTCTGTCTAGCCACTCCCATTCTGATCCCTTACACTTCAGCCCTTCTGTGAGGCCATCCCCGGGGAATCCCATCCAACTGATTCCCATCTATGGGTGTCATTGTCTCATTTTCTGCAGCTTCCCCATCCCCTTCCTGCATAGGGGCCTTGTCTGGCCTGCCATGGGCCTCACTTGTCTCCCCTGGATATTGTGCCTGGACTGATGATTGTCCAGGAGAATTCTGGATGATAGGAGGGGCAGGCCTATTGAGCCTGAACAGCTGCAAAATTTCCTCTCGGAGGGAGTTGATCTGGGTGGTCACTTGTGTGGAGAGCTCAGTCATGGCAGTTTGCGTGGTCTGAAAACGTTCCTCTTCTGCGGTTTCCAGTCGTCTGAGACGATCCAGTTGATATGGTTCTTAAGGGTTGGTAGGTTTATAAGTAGGGTTGCAGAAGATTGGGGGAAGAGAGTGAAGAGAAAAAGAGATAGAAAAGGAAAATTGTCTCTATACTCAACATGCAAAACCATTACACCATTAAGATCTAAGTATAGCTTCAAACAATCCTCCCTACTCAGCCGGATCTCTAACAGACTACAGCTGGAAAACAGAAAAAGGGATTACACAAAATGACGTCATCTGACGCTTGCTCCAACTGTCTTCAACTGCCACTGTAGAACGACGACGTATGATCTCCTTCTTCAACGATTTCTAACTGCTTCTTCGAACGACGTCGTTCTAGTCCTCTGACTTCCCCACTTTGACTTATTCCACTGCCATTGTGCCTCTCTTCTTTTTGCAAACCCTTCCTCCATTAACATAGGAAGCTTCCAGGGCTGTTACAGTGATGCGGCAGACACAACCTCAAAAGGTTGCAACACATGTACAATCAGTTTCTGCCCAGCTTGTAGTGGCCTCGTCGCCCGCTAATGAAGAAAATCAAACCAGAGCGCCTGAACTGGAAAATTGTCTCTCCATCATCAAATTTCACAATTTAATTTGAAACATCACAGTTTGTATAATCTGCATAGCTCATTTCCAGCACAGAGTCATATTAAACATAGCATTTTGTCTTATGTCAAATATTTTAGCTTCGATGTATAGAAACTGACAAAAGGGTATCTCCAATTCGTAACCGGTTTTGAATTGCCCATTCGTTGCAAGTCTCAGACTCGTTTCCAGTAGGTTTTTCCCAACCATTGTTGCCGCCTATTAGACCGTTTATTATTATTATTATTATTATTATTATTCTGTATAGTTTAGTCTTAGATTATTTGTCATCTGTTAGATAGTCAAGACTAGTACTATTCTTCAGGGTTAGTTAGAGCTCTTATTGTAATATAGTTTGTAATCTCTATCCTGTTCAGTTGTTGAATGAAACGCTTTGTCTAATCTGGTATCAGACTAAGGTTTCGATCTTCTCTCCTCCTCCACAAAATTTTCCCCTTCTTTCCCGATCACTCAAATCAGCCATGTCTACCAATTCTTCCGAGCACACCGTGTCTGCCGGTGGTCCACCATCTCCGGCCGACGGTAATCCCCTTGCTGGAGCGCATCACTACGTAACCATGAAGCTGACATCCCGGAACTTCTTGTTCTGGCGTATGCAGCTGGTTCCCTTTCTCCGGGGCCAGGAACTCCTCGGCTACGTAGACGGTAGCTTCCCATGTCCGGCAGCCACGATCGCCGCGGCTTCATCCGGCGACTCCACCAGTGCGACTCCGGCGAGCGTTGTCCCGAATCCGGCGCACCATGCTTGGGTGAAGCAGGATCAGTCCATCCTCTCACTCCTGATTTCGTCCATGTCTGATGAGGTCCTCTACCTTGCCCTCGGACGAAATACATCGGCGGTGATATGGGAGTCGATCACCAGTGCTCTTGGATCGTCGAGTCAAGCCCGTTGCCTCAACTTATTGGCGCAGTTCTAGGTGTTGCGTCAAGGCAACTCGACGACAGCAGAGTATCTCGGCCATGCAGGTGTGTTGGCGGAGGTGCTCGTACAAGCTGGCCGGCCTCTCTCCCTGATGGAACAAAACCTGTACGTCATCAGAGGACTCCGCCCGGAACTGAAGACCTTGGCTGCGGCGTTCACCAATGGAAATGCGGTGACACTGGATCATCTCTCCGACTACCTGGCGGCTAATGAATTCATGGAAGGAAGAAACCAGGACAGAAGCCATGGAAGTCAGGAGAAGGGTGGTGAAGAGAGCTTTCTCAATTAGTCTGGGGAAACTTGATACGAGAAAAGTCATTTTTTTCTCTTCTGGGTTATGAATAACTTTGCAGTTTGAAGAGCAATGTGGTAAAGGAATTAGAGATATGAGGTGAGTTTATATAGATGGAGGAAATAGGTGATAATGCATACTGGAACAAGTTAGGTGAGAAACAATGGAATTTTCTTTTTGCTACTCTGCGTGTACTGAGTACATAAACTCTTAGACATGAGGAAGAACAAAACAAGCTAAGGAAATGACATTATTAGCCCCTACACTAACGCCTAACTAACTGAAACTTAACGGAAGGACCAATACTGGAACAAATCTGATAGTCAAGGGTTTTTTTCGTCCAAATTAAAAGACGAGGACCAATTTTGGAAAATCACAATAGTCGGAGGACCATTGCTGGAATTAACTCTTTGGAGAACTTTGAATTTAGTTCTTCAACAATATACATAAAGTCTTTCCAAAAATAATAATAATAATATACATAAGTTGAAGAATGGAGAAGAGTTAGGTGATTGAAAAGATGACTTTAATAAACAAGTTTTTCATTTTTTTAACTTCTCTATTTTCCAAAAGATTCTCCATTTTAGTAAAGAGCACCTTATTTTTCTGACGCCACCTTACTCTTTTCTTATCTTAAAGTGTGCACTGTGCATTTTAGTGCACGGTAAGGAACCTCTAATATTTTTTTATTTTTTATTTTACTTTTGCCCTGTTTGGTAAAATGGCTGTTAGTTGATTGTGTTGATTAGAGGGTATAAATAGTTGATAACATTAGCTGATTGTAGAAACGTGTTTGGTAAATTAGCTGTTAGCTGATAGCTGTTTGGTATAATTTCTTTTCTCAAAAAGCTAATTAAAAAAGTTGTTTGGGTAGCTTTTTAAATTTTAGCCTTTTGGAGTTGCAAAAAACTAATTAACCAAACATTTATATTGATATTTTAACTAAATCAAACAATTAATAATGGTCAAATAAGCCAAAATTGACCTATAGGTCAATTTTTTACCAAACAGGGTCTTTATTTTTTAATCTCGGGGACCTTTTTCCCACTCCCATAGTCCCATCAAGCATTCAAATCATTCAAATCTATTTCTTAGGTCTCATACTCAAGTAGTCCCCGTTGGAAAAAAAGCCCAACCTTATCATCTACATATATTAGTTAATCAAAATTCAAAATTCAAAATTCAAAATAGGTTTTAGTGTAAGTGTTCTGGTGTGATTGTGTGCGTGTAAGTGTTTTAGTGTGTGCATTTCATTGTAGTTTTTAATCTTTTTCAAAATTCAAAAAGATTGTTGTGCGTGAGCATTAATTAGTGTGTATACTAAACATGAACAACTCTACACATTCATGGTTGTTTATGTTCATAAAAAAAATATATTTTTAATACCTTTTTCATAAAAATATTGAAATATAATATTTCTTTAAAAAAGTGTACGATATGAATTGATACTGTATTTTTTATATTAGGTACAAGGTATGTGTGTTACGCTGTAGGTGAACGAGTACAGGGGTTGTTTTATGCGAAAGCTAAACCCACCTAACAAACCATATTCATTAGCAATTATTAATTTGGACTATAATGAAAGTGTGTGCATGAGCGGTTGATGGATTGTGCAATGGGGGTAATGATCGTAAGTGTGCATGGTAGGTGTGAGATGTATGCGTTATGTTGAACGAGTCCAAAGAACAATTATGTGGAGCCGTATCAGGTGTGTGAACACTAATTTGTATGTGCATATGACGAACCTAATAAAATAAACGAATTTAACAAAAAAATCAAGTAAATAGAGTTTAAATTAAAATGTATGTATTATGTCTTAGTACAAAATTTCAGCATCCAAAATAAAAAATGAAAGAGAATATGACCAAATCAAATTTGAAAAGTGTAGACACAACTATCAAATATTTGTAACTAGTCTTAATTTTCAGCCAATAGTAGCTGCAAAACCCACCACATAGTTGAGGTTCGATTGCTTATGTATGTTGCTATGAAACATTAGAACTTCAGACAAGAATCGCTGGTGTAGAGCACTCAAGCACCGTGCATCACCCCTGCGACACAAAACCCCCCAACACCGTAATTATTGAAAACCAAAAATAAAAATAACGTAAAAACACAAAAAAAAAAAAAAAAAAACAATAATAAACATTTGTATTTGGACACAATTTGTCCATTATTTAATTACTGATTTTAATTAAAAATAAGCTCAAATTATATTTTTTTAGCGGAAAAAATAAAAAAATATTACGTTTCGTTAAAGAAAAATTAAAAATGTCAACAAGTCAAAAAAATAGACGCCTATTATAGATACTCTAAAGCAACCTCTGATTTAATTTTATTTTTTTATTTAAATTCTTGGGGACTTTTGTCCCATCCATCCCATCAAGCATTCAAATCTTTCCTTCTCTTAGGTCACATACTCACGGAGTAGCCCCATTGTTGGTCTGTATATTACCCTATTTTTCAGTTACCAAAATACACCCCCCCCCCCCCCCCTCCCCCTCCCTCCATACATTTGCAAACCAACCTTCAACTACAGAGTCAACGACCATGGCCGACGCTCTCATCTCCAATGTTGTGGAACAGCTGTTCAACATCCTGAATCACCAAGCCCAGGAGCTAAAAAGAACTTTGGGTGTGAAGAATGAGATCAAAAACCTCTCATCAAAGCTGGAGAAAATCAGGGAGGTGTTGGCTGATGCAGAGAAGAGAAGCTTTAAGGATAATGGCATCAAGCTCTGGATCGAAGATCTCAAAGACTTCTCCTACGAAGTGGATGATGTTCTGGACGAGTGGAGAACCAGAACTCTGAGACACCAGATCGAGAGCCCAGAGGTAAGTCGCAGCTCTTTCCTGCCTATGTGGTGTATCCAATTCAAAAAGTTTGTTGTGCATCGAGACATTGCCAAGAAAATAAAGGAGCTTGATTCAACACTTGATCGGATTACGAAAGAGAAAGATCAGTTCAAATTTGATTATGCATCTGTAACACACACTTGTGCAGCATCATACTCTGATCATCAAGAATTGATGCGAGTCACCACTGCGTTTGATATGGCTGCGTCAGATATTCAAGGTAGGAAATCCGATGCCAGTGCTTTAATAAGCAAGTTAGTGGAGAATTCTGGAAATGGAAATGGGCCTGCTGTCATTTCCATATTGGGCGCGGGAGGGATAGGGAAAACTACCCTTGCTCAACTAGTCTTTGGTAATGAACAGATAAAGGCTCATTTTGAGGAAAAGGTATGGATTTGTGTTTCCAGCCCTTTTAACCTGTTCGACATTGCAAAAGCCATTGTTGAGTCAACCACTAAAAGCTCCACGAATCTGTCCCAACTCCAACTGTTACTGGAAAAGATCCAAAGCACTTTGTCTGGGAAAAGGTTCCTACTTGTGATGGATGATGTGTGGACAGAGCAGGATGAAGAGTGGAATCCATTGAAGAACTCTCTCAAGGATGGACTCCCCGGGAGTAGAATCTTGGTGACCTCAAGGAGTGAGAGGGTTGCTAGAATGATGGGAAGTGTGTATCTGCATCAGTTGCATCTATTATCTAACTCAGATGCTTGGTTGTTGCTTAGCAGGATAGCATTTTCCGGGAGAAGGGAAGAAGATTGTGAGAAACTGAAAGATATTGGTCAGAAAATTGCTCAAAAGTGCAAAGGGCTGCCACTTGCTGCTAGGGTCATGGGAAGCCTGCTACGTTTCAAATACACTAAATACGATTGGCAAAATGTTTTAGACAATAAAATTTGGGAGTTGGAGAAAGTGGTAAAAAACCTCTTCCCTCATTTGTATCTAAGCTACAATGATTTGACCCCAAAGATGAAGCAATGTTTCTCATACTGTGCTGTCTTTCCCAAAGATTATGTAATAGAGGCAGATAAGCTCATCAGAATTTGGATGGCACAAAGTTATGTGACGGTGGAATCAGAAGGCAGGGAGTTATTTGAGGGTTTAGCAATGCGCTCTTTCTTCCAAGATTTGGAGAAAGATGCCACGGACTCCAACATTATCATATATTGCAAAATGCATGACATAGTGCATGATTTTGCCCAGTTTCTTACCAGAAATGAATGCTACAGTATTGACCAGCACGAGGATAAGGTCGGAATTAAAAATCTACGTCATCTGTCATGGCCGAGAACTAGAGGGAATATGAATCTCACTGCTTCCATTTGTGATGTTGGAAAACTTCGCAGCTTTTTTGCTCAAGACCTTTCGCTCACACAACTTACTCCTGATTTGTTCAATGGTTTGAAATCTGTGAGAGTATTAGGATTGCATGGCTGTGTGTTGGTAGAACTTCCAAAGGAGATAGGAAATTTGCTTCATCTAAGGTACATTGATTTAAGTTGGAGCAACGTAAAGGAGTTACCGGATGCAATTTGCTCTTTGTATAACTTGCAAACTTTAGATCTTGAGAGATGTAACGGTCTTTCCAGACTACCCAAAGGGATTGGCAATTTGATAAACTTGAGACACCTTAACATCAGACACACCTTTAGTCTGGAGATGATGCCCCAAGGTATCACACAGCTACCTCAGCTTTGTCGTTTAAGTAAGTTTATTGTGGGGAAAGAGTCATGTAAGTTGGGAGACATGGAGAAGCTGAACCAACTCAAAGGGGATCTGTCCATATTATTTAGGTGCGATCTAAATAATGCAGCAGATGTGGAGGAAGCAGAGAAAGCAGAATTGAGAAACAAGAAGCACATCAAAGAATTGTGGTTGGTTTTCAATCAAGGAGTCGATGTGGGAATAGATGTGATGGAAGCTCTGAAACCACCTGCGGAACTGCAAACCTTGAAATTTAATTCTTACAAAGGAGCCCACTTCCCTTCCTGGATTACACTGTCCCTTGATAATCTACGGAGTCTTACATTCTATGGGTGCTTAAATTGTTCATCTTTGCCTCCATTAGGCAAACTCCCTTCTCTGGAGACTCTTGAGATATCGAGAATGAAAGAGCTAAGATATGTAGGTAGTGAGTTTTT